TATGCCGCGAGGCATTGAGCTTGATCGAACTGGATAACCGGACAGCGCAGAGACGACTGTTCACTGGGATCCAATCCAGCAAAGCGCGTTCAGCTCTGGGGTTGAGTGTAGTTCCCACGCCATATATTCCACGAGTCATCGCTTCTGGGTCACCAGACACACGGAGGGAGAAATGTGAAAGAGCTGAGTTCATCCTTGGCGCTCTGAGATGCAGAATCACGCTCGGGTCTTGTATGCGTGTTTCGGAGCCACTGCATACATCGATTTTAAGGCAGTACAAGGTTTCAGCAAGCGTTGCCTGTTTGCCAATTTGACATGGAGTACGGACGTGAAAAGCTCCCATATAGAAAGGATCTCGGGGATTTAGGAAGGGGTTATTTTGTTTAATGTTTGTAGACAGCGAGGGGCCCAAGGCCCTCAGGTCGGATGACTGACAGTCAAATGGCCCAGCGACGTTCGTTTTTGCAGGGAAGGAAGGATTTGTGGAGGGACATCGGTGGACGCTGAACTGCGCGGGCAAATGATACTTCCCGGTTGCCCAGGCCGTGGAAGGGTTTTGGTTGAGATACATTACCTTGAGCCTTCGACTCAAAAGTCTGACTCACAAGGCAGTAGGATGATGTAGGGTTTTGTTCGGGGACCCTGCCCCGAGCCGATGACTCAACAATCTGACCTGCTCGGCTGCGGGGAGTTGGCCTAACCCGAGGGTGCAGGAAATAAGGCATTACTGTCTCATTCCTGATGCGGCTGCGCACAGCAGGTGCCTTTTGAACAGCACCGGGCTCTTTGGTTTTAAAAGTATTTCGACCGTATTGGATAATGCACCGGCGGTCACGGTCAACCGTTGAGCGATCGGAGTGGGCTGTTTTTTGGCCGACCTTTTCTAACCCGTCCTTCCTCGGGGAAGACAGCACTGCTGCTTCCATAAATATGGACCTGCTGGTCGCCTGGGGGAAACACCTTATTCACTTCACACTCCTGTCACAGAGGACACTACGACTTTACCCCCAGACCGCCTCGTACCACGATTACTCGTAGTGCATGGGTCTTGCTTCTCTTGGTCTGGCTACCGACTTTGGCCTTCCTGGCATGGTTGCACATTGTGGAACGAAGTCCCGGCCACTGTAGCCCGTGGGATCATTGCAGCACTGAAGCCCGAACACCACGTCAAGGTGGCAGCCTTAGATCTGGACGTGGTGACATGGGTGCATGTCGCTGGTTGATTGGGCATTGTTACGAATTCATTCAGCCAAAAAATATAGTACATTAACGGGTCAATGGCAGATTCCTCATAGCATTCAGCACTTTCAAACATGCCTAAAAATGTTCTAAAGTGGATAGAACGCGGATAATGAGTCTGGGAACCGATGAGCGTATGGGTGCAGAAAACAACGATCTAACTTTTGCATTCTTGCTCATTTATCATGAAACTGCTTTACGGAAAACTACTTCTTGAATTTTCGCACCATTTTCACCATTCAGGATAATTGCCGAAAAGGCTGCCTTTGTCTCTCGTTGGTTGGGCACACTTATCGTTCTCTGTGGTCAGCAAAAAATGATAGGTGACGCTGCTCCACATACATTGTTTTTGATTAAGGAATTAAACCTCTCTTCCGAAAATATTGCTCTCTTCCTCATTAGCACTAGGAGTAGTTAGGATCGCGCCTTAGCGGGAGAATTGTGCGCTCGTTCTCATGTCACATATAACAGTTGCTCCTACCTGTCCTCACCGAAACCTTTTGTTGACAGGGTTCTTTTCGGTTTACTTGTAATGAACCCCACGAAGGTAGTGGCGCTTCTCGAACAACAACTCATGTTGAACAGAATGCTTACAAAGCTGGGAGTTTCCACTACTAGTGTTACATCCGTCCCGGCAACAGGTCAGCAGATTGCTGACATTACGAATAGCATAGCATGCTAACGTCGAATTCGAGACACGGTTTCGTCGCTATGAGGACCTACTCGGAGTAGACCTAGCCTCTCAAGACGGTAAATGGAAAGTCCCGGTTTTGCTTCGTAAACTTGACCCGGCAGATCTGATTCTATGGTTTGATCAGAAGACCGCACCTGACAAGGAATTTTATGTCACTGTTCAAACTTTGATGTAGGCATTTTTGTAGCGGGCTTCTCATTTCAATACGCGGTACCACTCTCAGGAGCTGATTGTGAACGTGCCAGGTGATTTTTGACGCTCGTAGGCATTGTTAATTGTGCATATGAACCTTTCAATTTGAATTAGCCCACAACTGGCCAGTGTGGAGCCAGTATTTTCACACGAAGACTCCAATTCCTGGAGGCGGGCGCGGTTCTTCAACCGTCTTGAGCAGGACCCTGTCTATGCTCATAGGAATTGCAGACGTGTATTGAGGGCTAACATACCTACAGCAGACCTCAATCTTGTCCACTCCGAAGGTCGATGTAACCATGAACCTCATGCAGTTTTCCAGGATTTCGAACCCTTTGGTTCATCCATTTCTAGCCCGCTCTTGATGCTCTTGGTGCGTCACCTCTATCCAGTTAGCCGAAAGTCTCACTGAAGCATTCCTAAGTTCATGGCTTTGAACGTGGAGGGGCTCTGTTCCTAAAATCTTCAAGGACCCGGTTATGCAGATCCGTTGGCCACAAAGAAAAATATCCTGTGGCGTGCTCGTCTTGTAGATTTCTTGGCGGCTTCAATCGGCAACCTTATCCCGGAAATTCACACCTGTCACTCCGCATGTCTGTTGGCAAAAACACGAATCATTCTTCCGTGTCACGGAGAGTTCTGCACAGTCACGGCCAATGACTGTCACGTCTGTGTGTAGCTGTCCACTGCTTCGGCCATCACTGCTATTTCGGAGAGGCTTTGGCTAGATCGGCTTCCGGTTTGACTGCTATCGGTGGCTGAGGTGTGGAGTTAAATCTTTTCAGTAAACTGCGTGATGGCTATTGTTCTGCGGAAAAACGCCAACTTGGTCGATACATCCGACTCACTGAAGCGTTTTGGTGTTGGATTTTTCAACTGTCCAAGTTTGGCATGTTCTGATCAATTGTGCCTACAGTGTAGTCGGTTATGTCGGTGTGGCCCCAGATCAGTTTTTCGATGCTTCGCGAAGTTCCAGTCAGCTATCACACTGCCCCTAAAAAGGACTGCGTCACCGCTGTGCCACCAGCCGACGAACAGGATGTCCTGGAAATGCTACAAACCATCCTTGCCTTGCAGGTGACCGCTTCGGACATTATGCTTGAGACTTCGGCTGGTCCGATACCGTAATGGACGAACCAATACCTCCGAAAACTTTGGACGACAAGGTTCTCAGAGGGCGATGTTCGATCACTTTTCTATCTTCAATATTACCTGTCAATCGCCAGTAACCGTTCCGCGCAATGCCTGGCCCAGCCCACGCGGCGTCGCGTATTGGGCACATCTTTTATAGAAGTCTCCGCTGCATAGTCGAAACGTGCTCTCTAATTGCTGACACTAACCTACACGGCCTATGGTTCTGAAACAGTGTCGAAGACCCAAAAACGTTTCAGTTCTGCTGCTCGAACAGGACAAATCTGACAGCAATGAAACAAAATGGCCTATATTGTGGCCTTAACAAGTCCCTTGAGATTGAGGGATATACTGCATTGGCACTATAGGCATCTCAACTTTGCTAACGCTGCCTGAGCCTTAAAGGCCTGCCTCACCTGTCACTCGGGAGTCGGAACTAATATAACTGCCGAGATACGTGAAACGCCCCACAAACCAGGGTAAATAATAAATAATATTCGTTCAGCTGTAACTTTCTTCCGGTGCATAACTGCCATGCCAATTAAACGAAGTACGAGGGCTGGGATACTGTCAGGTTGTCCCTTGACGGACGGAAAGAGTCGGGTTCGAAACATGGACCTTCCTGTCAATAGGTTTGCGCTCTAACCAATGAGCCAGAGTCGGAACTAATATAACTGCCGAGATACGTGAAACGCCCCACAAACCAGGGTAAATAATAAATAATATTCGTTCAGCTGTAACTTTCTTCCGGTGCATAACTGCCATGCCAATTAAACGAAGTACGAGGGCTGGGATACTGTCAGGTTGTCCAAGCCTTGACGGAAAGAGTCGGGTTCGAAACATGGACCTTCCTGTCAATAGGTTTGCGCTCTAACCAATGAGCCAACTAGGGTTCCCTATCTTTGATCTTAAGTTTATTTTTAATGAATGTGTGCCCAGAAGCATGGTCTTCGACTACTGAGTAAAGAGCGCACGCCAACGGACGGAATGGCTAGTCAGTTCCTCCTTCTCTTTGAGTGGAAAAACGACGTCGCCCGCGTATTCCGGATGGACAATTTTTTGTCAGAAGCTACTTGAATAGCAGGGTTTTAAAGACATTATTGTGTTCACCCTAGTATCTCATCCGTCACGAAAGTAAATGGGGGTTGGGAGAGTGAGCAACCCAATCTACACCAATCTACACCAATTTACTCCTACCCCAAGAGTATAAACACTAATTATGTAGAGAAACTTTCGGGGCATTCCTCGCTGGACAAGCGTGTTAAGGAGAGCAGACAGGTCAGCCGAATCTAATGTGCCTTCCAAATCTGGGAATAATAAGATTGTGGGTCGTGGTTAAGAATGGCGATATCCTAGGAGTGTGATGATTTGATCAAACGAGCCATACCAACGGCAAAATCCCACTTACTGCCATTGGGCAACGAAGGAGAAATGATCGCAGTCAAGCTGATCCCTCTGTGAGTATGACTTTCATTGCGAGTCTCCGTCCCTTCTCCCCTGACATCCACTGCTGCTCACGTTCACTTGACATTTGTTAGTTCACCTAACTGAAATGGTCTGCGAGATTCAATCATTGCCCATGCTGTGTACCTGAGCGCGTCTGAAGACACTGTGTTGCAGGCCAAAGCTCCATGAGTGTCCAAAATTTTTTTCTTGTTACGGACCGGATAGATATTCGCCGATGGTTCTGGTTGGTACGAATCCATGAGCTATGCCCACAAATTCGAATTCCTTCGTAAACTCGTGCTTTTTCAATTGCCGAACTATTTGTCCACTTTTTGTCTTTGGAAACGAACAGAGGAGTGACACCCCAAAAATGCATACAACTTTTGTAAAACCACCGCGGATTATTTATTGGCATCGTTAAGCTATAACGATGTCATCAGTTTGCCTTCTTCTAGCACGCTGCTTGAATAGAGGGTGATTATGTAGCTAGCCCGACCACTGAGGCAGCATTGTGGAGTCTTGTTTCAAATCCGCAGCACGCGCCAGGGTCAAGAGCAGTTAGAATGAGAGCAAAAGTAGCTTTTTAGCTGTTTACTTCGAGTGCAAACGTCAAAACCCATCGGAATGTCCGTCTTTGATGATTCAAGGCTGATTTAAGGATACCTAGTCTGACGCGTAGACGTGGCGTTCGGGACTAATGCAGGTCCTAAAGGATTGGTCATCAGATAAAGAGTTATTACTCAGGCTTGTGGAGAAAAACGAGTGTATAAAAGAGACAGAAAGAAGCAGCCTGCTTTCTCCCACTCAGTCATTTTGTGGAGCAATAAAGTTGCCACAACTGATGACTATATGCAACAGTCGATGCGGCGCGAAATTACTATTGCTCGACGATTTCACTATTTGTACGTGGGCTGGAATACTGCCATGGTGCTCAAACCCGTAGAAGAGGACGATAAGGGTCCAGAACCTTTGGCTAAAATCCCCAACTGCAAGTCAACGCTGTATGACGGAAATCCATGTGCTATTTTTTAAAGAAAATCGCCACAAAAATCTCCTCCAACCAAGTGACTGTGGTGGTCAGCCTCCTAACGACTGACCAACCGGGTTTGTTAGACTCTATGGGTGTATCATGTACACCTTCAGTGTAACAGAGACGGTCAGAGAAGTATACAAACAGTCACACCAGAGAAATGTCCAGTCCCTTCGATACGGCCGCCAACCGCAAGTCACAGGCAGCATAAACGAGGCCTACAGGCTATCTGACACAAGTTTTCCCTTCATTTCGATCCAATGCGGGAACCAGATGAGATATTCACATGTGCAACTAAATCACTCCTCAGCAATCAAGTGGCAGAATGCTGATGCACTCGACCAAAATTTTCAGCCCACTGTAGTAATGAAAGTAAGCTGGCCCACAAGCGATCTTTTCTAGTAAACTGAACAAATTTTGGTTTTCAGTGGTCTCGTCAGTAAGAATGGAGCCTTTACAAAACACAGTACCTTCACACTTCTTTGACGGTTGTTAAAAAAGTCACATTTCCGGTGTAGACGCTGACGGATACAAGCTTACACCACTGCGTCAATCAAGGAATGTATCATGCATGAGATTGTGCAGTGAATAGCTTAGGTGCCTAATGACCTTAAATGTGACGTTCGTTATGGGGCTGTTCAAAACCCGAGGTATGTCAGGCAAATGATGCCGTATCCAGTTTGATAGCACACCCGCAACTATTCCCTTCCTACTTTTGACCGTTTCCCCTTGCCCACTAGTTCCATTAGCTGCAAATACGAACAAGATCCCCACATTGTCCCATCTGCCTCCATGACATGTTCTGCTGAATCTTTCGTTCGTCATATCCTTCAGCTGTAATCCTCGACTGAATCGCCAGCTTACTTCATAAATGAATGTGCTTCACTGATTGCATACAATTCGGTCTCAAGAGAAAAATAAGTTGGACGGAAATTCGGGGAGTGATTCTACCTGTCTCCCGTCCAATCCCTAAGAACAGTGGAATCGGTCGCGTTGTCTATCGAACGGTTTCTAGCAACCTTATTGGTAGTGTTTTCCGTCAAGAAGATGTATTGAATCTAGAATATCGTGCCTATGGGTAGCACATTCAGTTGAATAATATCATAAACCGGATATCCAGTTGAGCCTCTCCTTATTACCTTTAAAGTGGAACTAAGAAGTTCCTGACTCCAGGAAGTACTTAAACAGTACATTTAAGCATATCAACATAAAAGTTCAAGTGTTCTTTAGCACCGATAGAGTGTGACGGCCACTGAGGGCTGTTTTGTGAGAAAAGCCCGAAGGAAATAGCTTCACAAATTCAGCGAGTGGGTTTTCAAGCAAACGTAGTATAAATGGTTGGATTTAAGAGGTTTACGTGTTCGTATCGACAAATGTACTGAGGTTTCCAGCGAAACTGGCTGACGTGATGGCAAGTTTGCCAATCAATTCAATTCACCTTATCGGCTATAAACCGGATAACATAGACACACTGGTTCCAGCTGCTACAGTTTAGATCGCCGTGAAGTGGGAGAGTGTGGGACATACAGACAAGCATTGGAGCCGATAGCATGCTTATTTAGTTCAGGAACTGGGTAAGTACGCATTGGAGCCGATAGCCTTGATGTCATTAACCATTGATGATTAGAATCCCGGCGTCCTCATCCAGAGATGACACTTTTCGATCCGACTAAGTTTACCTGTTGGAGTTTTCGAACCTCGTTGCCAGGTCATACATTGTCCACCCCTCTGTCGCTTCTACTCAAAGCAGGGCTGCGTGAGGCAGACGGTGGGCGGACAGCCTTGTCTTACACCACCAGACGTGATAAACTCAGACGAAAGCTTGCCGTATATTGGTACGCGTCCATAGGAGTTCACAAACTGTGCCCTCATTAGTGATATAAACCTGGAAGGGGCGCTAATCTACGGGGTCAAAAGTAACTTTCAGCTCAAGAAAAACGACCAACGTGAGACGTTTGAAGCAGTGGCGCTGTTCAAAAGTTTGTCTCAACGTAAAGCTATGGTCGATGCACCCTCAGCCAGCGCGAAACCCAGCTTCATTTTCACGAATTTGTCTCTCTCTCGATTAATGATCGACCTACGCAAAGTAATGTCAGGGAGCACTTGATGCGGCGAATATCAGGCTGATGCCGCGATGGTTTTTGCATGACGTTCTTGAGCCCTTTTTGGAAACTTGGGTGGCGATCGAGGAGCTCCATTTGACTGGTTCGTTCCAAATCTCCCACAGTATGTCAGATTGTTCACCAGAATCTCAAAATAATAATAATAAAAGTAATAGTCGTTCGTCTGCAACACCCTTTGGTTACACCAGAAGAAAGCACATGGGCCGGGTTGCCCAAGCCTAGACCTGAGAAGTCGAGATACAGAGGTCGGGTTCGAACCACGGACCTTCCGGTCAGTTAATTAGTGCTCTAATCATGGAGCTATGTAGCCTCCACATCATTTAAGCATATAATACCGATGACTGTGGGACTGTTTTGTTCCAGGTCAAAAGCAGCTTATTTTCATAGTTTGTGATATTCGACTTGTAGGTCTCACTCGCCTGGCCATCTTTATCGTATCGGAGCACACTGCGCAAACAAATCCCGCATCGTCTTTATGAACGCTTCTGAAGGGCTCCACATAAGAATTAAAAGCACGGAAGTCCATACGATCTTCTGGATTGGCCATCGAATAAGTACAGAACTTCTTACGAAAAACCTCTAAGCATTATCTAGAAGGAACGGGCAGTCTAAACAAAACAATAGTGAGTATGGCGTAAATGAGAGATTCAGCTAGATTCAGTTGAGTCTCTCATTAAAACCAATTAGGTGAGAGGGTCACAGTCCGCAATTTTAATGCGTTGCGGAAACACTATTTCCTTGAGTATAGACTCTTTGTTTAAGAAGTACCGGAGGAACTAGTTTTGCGACTCAGTCTTTTCAGCACACCAACAAAATCGAGGTTCATACGTTTTACAGCTCTGCAGCGTACCACCCAAACGCAAACAAAACGGCCACCTTTCGAGTGGCTGGCAGTTTTGTCTGTGACCTTAACCTTATTTCGCTTACTAGGTTAAGTACAGTGGATCTAGTTCCGGTCAACATACAGCACCCAATTAGTTGTCCAGTTTTTGAAATCACGGTGAGGTGTGTTTACTGATGGCT